TGGATCTTGCTCAGGACGCGCGCTGTCTGTGGAGGCTTGGCCAGTCATGGTTCCAGAATTAAATCACTGAGGGTGCTCTCACATATATTTTTGTCCCAACTATTGCTATGGTTATCACTGTGTTAATCATTGCTATTTTGAGAGTGAATCCAGCATAAATATGCGGATGTCATTCCTGAAACTTTGCAGCATGTATGTGTCCGAAAAACAAAAGTTTCATACACATTCTTAATGGATTATAGCCTCGAAAGCACGCAAAGTGTCACTAAAAAGCTTAACTCATCTTAGTTAATCGTGATCTCACAAATTTCTGTTATAGTCAATGAAGCTCTCTAAACTGCACAATGAATCTCTTATTTACATCGCATCTACACTTTGTTTGTTATGAGATAATTCACGAGTGTGCTGAACTGCACTGAATAAAATCTCTGGCATTTTCAGTAAATTAATGAATTCTGACCAATGTTTCTGATTGGCCATTGCATTCAAGAAATCAACAGATGTGTCTGTGATTGGCTACACTGCTAAACACTGCAAAAACATGTTGCCAATAGTAAGTTTTGACGCTGTCCAGAGCACAAACAAAAATACGCACTGGATAGTTTGCCAGATCTTCAACTGAGGGTGTTTTTGCTTTCGTTTGAGGTTATTTAGCATCCTCTTGCACCCCCATAGAACCAGGCCTGATCTAGGCTAACTGCTCCAAATTGCAGTGGGGCTGACTTCGTGGATTCCATGACTATCGATATGGGGGGCCATCTGCCCCCCCGCCCCATGCAGAATATTGGTTGGTCCGTTGTAAAATACAGTGTATTCAGCCTTTTTGTCCTTGGCTATTAAACTTATCTTAAGGCTGATATATGCACAAAAATATTAATAATACATTTAAATTCAGATAAATTTATGTGGATCAATTCAAAATCATTTGTTAAAGAATTGTGAATCATTGGCATATCTGCATTAGCCAAGACTAACAAAGTAAATCCAAACAAATCAGATGGATAAATTCATGCATCATTTCCCTTTGAACATTTACTTTCACTCAAAAACACATCATGCTATGGAACAGAAATGCTTTGTGAGTGTCATTTCATGTTGTCCTTAAGTGTTTCTAATCAAGCGGTCAAATCCCTCACTGTCTCCTGAGGGATTCAGGTCATCCAGAATTGAGGCTCTCACTTAACTCTTCATTACGGCTGATATTCGTGTGCACAGAATGCAACACACTCAGCTATCCACTGCATCTACATTTGCGAGGAGGCGGTGGGGGGCCAGAATACTTCACTTAGCCTTTAGACATCCATCATTTATCTCTCCTTCTTTCATCTGTTTCTTTCATCATCTTTCACCAGTTAGTCCAGATTAGTCACAGTGGCCTTATGGCAGCCAGACGCAGCCACCATGCCCTGTGCTGAACCCCCACCTCCTCACTCCCTCCCACATCAGGACTGCAACACCTGTCTCCTAGCAACCTGCATCCAGATCTCAGGCAAGGGATGCTGCCTCTGACACAAGAATGACAAGACAAACATTCATTGGAACCGCCATGCAAGAGCTTGATGATGTAATGATGCCATAGGTGAGCAGTGGACAAAGCATTGGAATGCTGGATTTTAATGGGAGCACACTTTTAATGGGAGTGCATGTCACTTCTATTAACTGGGCAGTCGTGGCCTAATGGATAGAGAGTCGGACTTATAACCCGAAAGTCGTGGGTTTGAGTCTCAGGACCGGCAGGGATTGTAGGTGGGGGGAGTGAATAACCAGTGCTCTCTCCACCTTCAATACCACGACTGAGGTGAGACCCTTGAGCAAGGCACCGAACCCCAAACTGCTCCCCGGGCGCTGCAGCATTGGCTGCCCACTGCTCCGGGTGTGTGCTCACGGTGTGTTTGTGTGTGTGTTATCACTACTCACTGCTGTGTGTGTGCACTTGGATGGGTTAAGTGCAGAGCAAAGTATGGGACACACCATGGCCACACGTCACGTCCTTTCCTTAATAATGGAAATGTGTTTTGAAGCTAGTTCATATTACTAACACAGTAATGTGAAAGGAACAACTCTGCTGACTGGTTCAAAATAAATAAAAGGAATAATATTTTTTAAAATGTAGTTCAAAACACAGGCCAGATTCTTGGAAATGTACTCAAGTTTGTTTCATATGGTTTGGAAAATCTTTTATGTCATTTTTTTGAGAAATATGTTAACCATCAATTAAAAAAAAATTAAGTTTATTTAAAAAAAAAAATTACACTACCATTTAAAAGTTTAGGGTCAGTTTTTTTTTTTTTAAGAAATTTATATTTTTTTCAGCAAGGATGCATTAAATTGATCAAAAGTTACACTAAAGACAATTATAATGTTACAAAAGATTTCTGTTTCAAATAAATGAATATATTATTACAAATATACTCTATGAATATATATGTTGAACTTACTATTTCTGTTCTACATTTCTGTTTTTGTATTTTTGATCAAAGAAATGCAGCCTTGGTAAGCATTTAAAAAATCATACAGACCCCAAATGGTATCTATCATATATAGTATAGAAATGCTTGAGAAATTACTGAAAATAATATTAAATTATAATGGCAAACTTCTATTATAAGGTTTTCTTTTGATAGTGGCATCATACATGAATATATCTGAAAAAAAGAAGAAGAAGAAAAATCAAACACTTCCATGTGGTATAGGGTATGAACTAGAAGAACTGCAGCTTTCAGTCCGAGTGTATGTTCAAATATAAAGTGTTGTGTGAAGTGTGGTGGAAACTTTTCAAGAGCCTGTGTGATTCAGGCAATGAACAGTGTTGCTCAGTGGGTAGTTACAGCTCAGTGGACCAGCCACACATATGAATTAAGAGTCCCATTGTACCGGCAAAAAGTCCCTAAGTTTTTGGAATAGTTTACAGAACACTTTACAGGCCACTGCACACAAGATACACACACAAATACACTCTCATTTAAAAACTCACTCACATCAAAAGTACCTTGAGCATACATTCAGAGTATGTATGTTTGTATATCTATAAATGTCTGACAGTATTGAGGCAAAAACTGGCTCTGCAATGAGCACAAAAACTAAAAATAAGACAGAAGCCAAGTACACCTGCAAAATAAACAATGAAAAACAATGAGATATTGAAATTGTAAATGTGTGGATTATTCAAGCAAAAAAGGCAGACTGTTGTTTTCTTCACTGCTTTGTAAAGGTGCAACTCTCTCGCAGACTGGCACAGACTCAAGGTGCTTGGTGACATTTACCGTCAACTGTGTTTCTGGAAGGGATCCGACTCTTATCGGACTCCACATGCAGTCTCTCTCTCGCCTTCAGTGCCACCTTTTCTTACCATTCAAGTGCGTCTCAGCCACAAAAATACTTTTTTCTTTTTCTTTTTCTGTTTTTTTTACAACTTCACTTGAGGACGCATCAAAACAACTGAACAACCTTTTGCTGATCAGTTACTAAGAACTGAACCTAAATCTTGTTTATAAAAAGAGAGGAACTTAAGATTTGAAACTAAGCAGAACTCCCTGCAGAGAGCTGCCTTGATAAGACCAAACCCTCCTTCCCAAATACATCCGAATCACAGCTCATATCAAACGGCAGATGAATCACATGTTGCCGTCAGAAGTAAACGTCCACATGCTGAGGCTCCTTCCACCCCTCTGCGTGGGTATTTACTTTGCTGCAATTGTACCACAACGATAACACACATCAATGGTTTATCAAAGACGCTTTGAAGCGCTTCGTTCTTCGTGATAAATGTCATTCTTCTGAGTGAGTCATCCCAGGGTCATTCTTTCAGCTTTAAAATGCCATGGTGTGCTAGAGGACACTGAGCGCAGCCCGGCAAACTAACTCATGCTCATGACATTTAAGGAGTGTCTAATTAAATTAATTGATTTATCATGCTGTGGTTGCTGACTTATTGTTTAGACAGCAATAAATGATCCATCATGGATCCATGAATTCAGTTCAGGACCTAATTATGCATGACTGAATTGTAAAATGTGAATTAAATATCACAGTTTGCATCATGATAAATTGCTTAAAAAGTTACTTTCATGCTTATAAAGTTTTTTTTTTTTTTGAAGCATGAATTCTCAAGGACATCACAGCGCAAAGATTATGGACACACATTTATGGTTGTGGTTCATGTCACAAAATATCAAAAACTTATCTCAATAATATTAATTATATTATGTACAGATAAATTAATTATTGACACTTTACTCACTTTAATAAACACACATTAAGTGAGTAGTGGCTATATCTCTCATGTTGAAGTAAATAATATTAGTATACTGCACTGACTATATATATACAGTATCTCACAGAAGTGAGTACACCCCTCACATTTTTGTAAATATTTTATTATATCTTTTCACGTGACAACACTGAAGAAATTACACTTTGCTACAATGTAAAGTAGTGAGTTTTCACTTAGGGGTGTACTCACTTTTGTGGCCAGCGGTTTAGACATTAATGGCTGTGTTTTGAGTTATTTTGAGGGGACAGCATATTTACACTGTTATACAAGCTGTACACTCACTACTTTACATTGTAGCAAAGTGTCATTTCTGCAGTGTTGTCACATGAAAAGATATAATAAAATATTTACAAAAATGTGAGGGGTGTACTCACTTCTGTGAGATACTGTATATATATATATATGAAACTAAAAATGAAATATTGCCACTGTTTAGCAGTAGATATTTGCTTGAAATGGAACAAGTAAATGAAAAGGAGGTGGATGCACAGCTGTGTATGGTACAGAACAGACTGCTGAATTTTTCCGCCACTGATCACAACTGAATCAATCACTCAGCAAAACAAATTCAGTGCCAGATTGCAATTTATTTTAATATCTACTAATGAAATAAAAACACCTCCTGAACAAATGGAGATGCTTCCTCTGTAGTGGATCCCAGCTGCATATTATTTAGGAACAAAATCATCCATGGAAAATAATGATGGTGGTGATTTGAAGAACATACCTATGACGTAAGAGAGCAGGACGGCCAACAGCACAGCGGCTGCAATCGCAGACACAGCAGCGCATTTCCAGCTGCAGTACTTGGAGGGTTTCTTCAGCTTGAAGGAGCTCCTGGAGAATGTATTTCTGGGTAAGAGCCGGGGTGGTGGGGAGTAGACGGTACCACCGGTCAAGGGATAACCTGGTGAAGAGCTGCTGAACAGAGGAGTGCTCCCAGATGGCGTCTTGAAAAGGAAGTGTCTACAAGAAGAAAGAAAGATAACACAGCACTTGTCAGCACCTTTTTAACCAACAGAAGAAAAATCTCTGTATCTTATCTCTAGACTAAATGTTCTGAAAATTGTCAATATGCCCACGGCTTTACTGGACTTTGATAAATCTCATAAAAATATTCTTTAATGAGCTGAATGAGTAAAAAAAAAAGCCTGTTTAAGCTTATTTAATGGCTAACTCTGGGGAGTAGGCTATTTGTTTCATTCACATTTTCCAGAAGCTCATGTTGTTCATTTTGTTCTCATGCTGTAGTTTTTCTAACAACCAGTTCAATTTGTACAATAATGGCTTTAAATGAGGCTCATTTAACACTGCTCTGATCATTTAAAAAGTATAAGGCATTAGACTGCTACTTTGTGTACTAGCAGTGAAGACTGAATGCATCATAAAGACAACTCCAATCGAATGGTCAGCAGAGAGAATTGATTTTTGTTGTTGTTAAATCCCTGTGCTTGCTAAGACTCAGCAGGATACTGAATAACAGTTCTGAGCACCCTGGACCGCATCAAACCTTTATAATTCAAAAGATTATCACCATCAGACATAACATGAAAGGTCATGGTGATGATAAAGTGGTCAGCAAAGCAACAGTTTGCTGCGACATGGAGGGCAATGTTACTGCAAAATAATGCCAGATCTGGTACTGTATCTGTGGTGCACGGGGTCAAAGGTGGGCTGAAAGGGGAAATGTGTGCGTGCATGTTTGGGGAGGGGGGCAGATGGGAAGTGGATGAAAGCAGACGACAGTTGACCAGGAAGCTTTGATGAGCACTAGGTTTGGCTCAGACTGAGGTCCTAGGCTAAACCAGCCTCAGATCTTTGTCCATGTGTCTTGTTCGGGACAGGCGGTCCACTCTGACTCCAACAGGCCTCTCTGTCGCCCCCCTGCTAGGCATCCAACTGCTCCCTGCTGCCCACAGCCAGAACAACCCATGAGAACTGGCATGCAGATCTGAACTGAACAGTCTAGAATAACATCTGAAATCATCTACTCAAAATCATGTTATTCTATAGTACTTTTCAAGGTTTGGGGTCTGTAAGTTTTTCCAATATTTTTTAAGTCTCCTATGCTCACCAAGAGTGCATTATTTGATGAAATATTATATTCATTTAAATATTTTAATATGTATTAAAGTGTAATTTATTTGTGTGATGCAAAGCTGAATTTTCAGCAGCCATTACTCCAGTCTACAGCGCCACATGATCCTTTAGATATCATTCTAATATGCTGATTTGCTCTCAAGTAACATTTATTATAACTATCAATTTTGAAAACACTTGTGCTGCTTAATATTTTTGTAGAAACCATGATCATTTTTTTTCAAGATTCTTTGATGAATAGAAATTTCAAAAGAACTGCATTTATTTCAAATAGAAATCTTTTGTAACATAATAAATGTCTTTCCTGTCTCTTTTGATCAATTTAACGAGTCCTTGCTTAATAAAAGTTTTACAGTGGGAAGTACTCTTTTTTTCCCCATGGAACCCAAAGGTTTAAAGGATTGTTTTCTATACAATGAAGGAATAAAGTGATGCGCTGTCAAGCATAGCCCACTTACTATGAAACAACACACTATGAAAGTAGTCAATATGACATGCATTTTATTCACAAATCAAGATATTAATGCCACTAGTTATTGCGTGTCATGTGACCAACTTCCAGTTGTGGAAGAGTGAATGAGATTTGACAGCTACTGAGAAGATTTTGATTAAATAATGATTTAAATTTCCAAACGTTTCTCACACAAATCTATCATATGGATTCAGAATATTGTAGATTATTGTATTTCAATAGCATTTTTCTTTTTTTGAGCTTGTCAGGCCCTGGTCACTGTATTCTTTATACATATGGGAAAAAAAACAGCTTTTGAACTGCTCTTCTGAACTTCTCCTGTTTAGTTCCAGAGAAGAAAGAAAGTCATATGAGTTTGGAAAGACATGATGGTGAGAAAAAAATGATAGAATTTTCATTTTAGTTTGAATTGTTCTCTTTTCTGCATTTGGTTGCTGCTGCTCATTTCAGCGCTGGAAAGAAGTAACAGGTTGTGAAATGGCACTGTCAGGTTCCTGCGCAGCTGTGGGTTGAATTCACAGCAGAATAAGTGGGTGAGTTTGAACTGTATTTTTCATACGAGCTGGATGAGAGCAGTGAAGTGGGTAGAGAGAAAATCTGTCATTCCCTACTCCGCTGCCTTTACTTTGTGCGTGTGGCCTCGCACTAAACAGTGCAATCTTGCTGTGCAGTCACGGTCATCTGTGGACAAGCTCTGGCTCAAGGTAACTCTTTCAAGCCTTTACGATTCGTCTGAAAGCATGCAGGCAATCTTTTTTTTCCATTCTAGTTTAATAACACGCAGCACAGAATATGAAACACTGTCTTTCAATAGCAGGGACTTGCTATGTGTCATCATAATAGTATACAAGAAGAAAGCCTAAAAATAAATAATGCAGTTCAAAATCTATATTTAAAGAGCAGATAATATCCAGAAAAAAGTCCAAATATATTTCATCATATAGCTTGACAGATAAATCAACTTAAGAGAAGTGTTAAAGCCAGACATCGGGGGCCATGTGTATAATCGACCCTCTAGGCCAAATTGCATTACACTGAAGAGGAGAGATGTGTGAAAGGGAGACGGGGATGGATAAATGGAGAAAGACCGAAAAGGAAGGAGAACTAAGCGGCCCATAAAAGCGTTAGAGTAGCAACATATTCATACTGTGACCCACAGTCATTAACCCCTGAGCTAAATCTACAAGGTAATGGAAACAACTCTTAGGTTCATTTCACACACACACACATACACACACGCACACATATATATATATATATACATACACACACACACACACACACACACACACACAAAAACAATGATTAATGAGAACACATACAAAGACAGACAGGACAGACCCTGTGGCTATCAGGCATGTGACTCAAATCTGCATCATATCTGATGGACACTAATTGCAAAATGGCATGCAGAAGCTAAATTAATTGATACTCAGTCTTATTCTTTTTTGTGTTGTTGTGTTTTTCACAAGAAGATTATATAGCATTAAAGAGATAGACAGACAGACAGACAGATAGACAGACAGACAGATAGATTCCTCAAGATGATGCCCTTACATTTGTTTATCATTGTTTATCAGTTTACGCCAGAATAGGAATTTCTAGACTTTTTCATCACAGTTCATTTAAATTTTGAAAGGTTCCTGTTGTACATATGATGCTTCTAATCACTTTTAAGAAAATTTCAAGGTTTTGCACATTTTTATTTGTAAAAAAAATTGATAACTTGTGTTAGAGAATAAACAGCAGTGAACCAATAAGAGAATGCTTGCACAACTGGGACATCTCACCACCAAACTATCCGCAACAACCAGCACAAACAGAGCACGGCCGAGAAACACGGCAATAAGCAAAAACAAGGCAAAGCCGCAAAAAATCTCACTTTCACAGTAAACACCTTTTCTCTCCTCCTCTGGGAGAGGCGGAAAGGTCCAGAGCAATTAACAAGCAAACATGAGATTTAACAGAGAATGCAAACACAAACATCTCTCAAGGTGAATTAGTATTCCACACATATAGTATTCCAGTCCGAACTGTCCAAAACATTAAGCCTAATTGGGATTTCTGATTCGGTGACAAAGCCTCTGGTTTGGTGTTCAACATCTTTTGCAGGGTCAAGGTCCTTTGCTTGTTTGCATGTAATGACCAAAATATATGGTGACTTCACAGATGCAAGTCTGCTGTTTATTTACACAAACTCAAAATATGATAAATGTCTACAGGAAGCCCAGCCAATCAAAAATGGTTTTATGTTGAGGTCCTTTGAAATAGCTTGCTAGAGACTCTCTCTCTCTCATTCAGCACATCGATCTACTGCCATCCTCAATATAAGATGCAGTGGCAGAATTCAAAAACCTCAAACTGAGGTTGTTACATTCTGTCCACTTTATTCTTATCCGTCTCCAGCTAGTAAAGTGTCTAGATAAGAGCTATTCCCATCCACTTAAGAAAATAATGTCACACAACACGCCTCCATTTTGTACCATTTGGGAATTGAAGCATCCACACTTTGTCCACTGAGAGTGGAGAAAAAACAGCAGTTCAAGTGAGTGAAAATAGATTTTGAATACACAACTATGTCACAAAGTACTGCTACATACTGCTCAGCTCAGATGAAATGTAAACCCATGTAAATGTAAATCCCATAAAAGACAGTATTAATGCATAAAAAGAGGTATTAAAGGATTTGTATATTATACAGTACAATTGCTTGATTAAGTACATTATAGTCAGGCCTATACAGCAGGATATCTGCCCCCTGAAATCCTAGGACTCAACAGTGTTTTCCACGACATTCTAATTTATTGAGATGCACCTGTATTTCAGTTTCAGTTATATTTCAAGTTGAGATTTTTTCTTGCCTCACCACAATTTTCACAGGACCCACCACAAAGAAGTATATTTTTTTACCTATGCATTTATGTAAATTGTATTATTTAAATTTATTAATGTATTTTTTTTTTTTACTTTCACTTTCTATTCATGAAAGAATCCTAAAAAATGGTTTGCACAAAAATATTAAGCAGCATGTCTGTTTTCAACTGTGATAATAAGAAATGCTTGAATTGAATGATGCTTCTTTTAGAATTATTTCTAGAGTAATGGCTGCTAAAAAATCAGCTTTGCTGTCATGGAAATAAATTTCATTTCATAATATATTAAAATAGAAAACAGTTATTTTTAAATGTTAATAATATATCAAAATATGTGACCCTGGACCACAAAACCAGTCATACGGGTCAATTTTTTTAAAATTGAGATTTATACATCATCTGAAAGCTGAATAAATAATCTTTCCATTTGTTAGGATATGACACTATTTGGCCGAGATACAACTATTTGAAAATCTGAAATCTGAGGGTGCAAAAAAAATCTAAATATTGAGAAAATCGCCTTTAAAATTTTCCAAATGAAGTCCTTAGCAACGCATATTACTAATGATTATAATTTTTGATATATTTACGGTAGGAAATTTACAAAATATCTTCATGGAACATGATCTTTACTTAATATCCTAATGATTTTTGTCATAAAAGAAGAATAGATCATTTTGACCCATACTGTAACGGCGCGAACGAGACGAGAGACATGCGGATCCATCTGCAAAGCTTTATTCTTAAACATAGTCAAAACAGACAAGAGTCTGACAATGGCAAACAGGTACTTAGAGGGCAAGACTGAAGAATGATCCAATAAACAGGCGTAGGTCAATCGACGGCAAACATAATCCAAAGGATGAGGCAAGCGAGTAATCCACAGACAGATAATAACCCAGGCGAGGTGCGAACAGAATCCAAACAACAAGATGAGAAATCCAAGACAGGCAGGTTATCAGGAACAGACAATCAGACAAAACTAGAAACAGGACTAGAACTAGGAACTAGACCAAAACTCAGACAGGATACTGGCTCCGTAAAGTGCTACCACTAGGAGAGTGATAAACGCTGACAATACTCAGCGATTAGAGAAGGATTTGAGTGGTTGTTATATAGTGTGTGTGTGATTGGCTGCAGGTGAGTCCAATCAGTGCAATGGAGCATGGGAAATGTAGTCCAGGGTGACGTGCAACAGTTTGTGTGGTGTGAGAGTCAATGTAATCAGAAGGCGACCTCTGGTGGCGAGCAGACGGAAGACCACGGACCGGATTCGTGACACATACAACTTATTGTTGGATATTGCTACAAATATACCCGTGTGACTTATGACTGGTTTTGTGGTCCAGGGTCACATATTGCTGTTTTTATTGTATTTTTGATTAAATAAATGGTGTTGGTGAGCATAAGATACTTCAGAAACATCAAAAAATCCAACAGGCACCAAACTTTATATTTTAATATAAACTATATAAAAACTATATAAACTATATAAAAATATAAAATAAACTATATATTTGCCACCACCACCAAAATCTGTGCATAGAAGTCTGCAGATCCCACCTGGGCCATTTATATATCTAGCGACAAAAAAAAAGCAGTTAGCAATGGCTGAGATTCAGAGCAGGAAAGGCGAGTATTTCTTCTCTGTATTTTTCTGCGGAGAAGTTAGAGGCCTGTTAGGGGATGACAAGTCATGTGCAGAACAAGTGAGAGAAATGACACCGGTGTTTCAAACAAGCCCACAGGGAGAGCGATAGAACCGAAAAAGAAAAGAAAAAGACAGCAGGCATACACACAAGCTCTTCCCTGACGCCTAATAGAAAATCTTCTCCCATTTCAGTCCACTAAGATGGAGCACACCATCATTAGCTCCAGCTCAGGGGGGCACTGCAGGAGTTTTAGCCCAAGTAAACCACCTCTAATTGGGCTCCGTCTCTGTGGCAGGCCCAGATTTTTTCTGGATAAATACTGAGCTTCCTGAACGAGAGGCTGAAAACTTGAGACTATGGAGGAGAGTTCCCAGAGCTCATGTGTTCAGTGCACTCTGATACTGCGTTATTAACACACACTCATACTAACACTCAGTTGAGATTTTGATGGTGGTGCGATGTCCCGGAGGAAAACATTTTGAATAAAAAATGTTTCTTCTCTCTGCTGCTCCTCAGAACTGGGCCATTTCTTATACACTGACGGGAGATAACGATGGAGATCATATTTCATAAGATAATTAGTCTTGCATAGCAAGACACTGTGAGCCTGCAATTTTCAAACCTTCGAGCATCTGGAGTTTCCCCTCTGTGCTGCAGAAACTCAGCAGAACCTTGTAAGACTCGTTGAACAAGTCTGTTAATGTGAACCAATACCCTTGGGAAAATGTGCATATTAAGGTCCACTTGTGAGATTGACCAGCACAATAAAATAGTTTATTTTCATCTGTCACCAAGAGATTTAAGATCACACGTACTGTACAGTGGCAATACAACTAAATCCTGGCAACTAACTGAAACTAAAACTTCTAATGCTTCTAACGTAACTAACATATTTCAGTGCAGTAGTTTTTGCGTGACAGTAGTTCAGCTGTTTTCAAAATAGAAAACAGCTTTTCCAGAAACAAGCTACTTTTTCCAGCAAGTGATGTTATGGCATGACAACCAGTGCTATGACTAATAAGACACTCTTCTATCTATTTGTAGTAGGGTTGGAAAATCTGAATTTGTTTTATTGAATTAGTTCATTATGATGGTTTGTTTTAGCAAATCAGCTCACTGAATTGGCTCATTTTAACTGGATAAAAATATTTGCTTATTGAATAGCCATCCCTCGATAATATAATCACGAAATTTTAACCGTTTTTTTTAATAATATTTAAATACTGCTGTTTAGTAAATATTACTCAACAAACAGTAAAATAATAATAAAAAATAAATAAATACATAAATGCTGTTCAGTGAATAAAATTACATATTTTATATTTCAGAATTTTTAGAATTGTTTTAGTATTCAGTTTTTAATTTTCAGTTAATTTTTATTTTATTTTAATAGTTAAGTTTATGTATGATTCTACCACCCTAAACATTCTTCCTAAACCAAGTTTCATGTCAAATATTCCAGATGATAAAATAAAATATATTGTCGCCTTTAATGTATTGAGCTTCTTTTTATTAGCAGCTTGTATTTTATATTTTAAATATTTTTATATATATTGTTATATTTTTATTTATTTTATATCTTTTTAAAATATTTTCGATCATTTGCTAACTGTTTTTTTTTTTTCACAAAAGATTAACTTCACACACCTTAATAGCCAGAGGGCGGACAGCCGCATCAAATAGTGGGTCAAATCAACCAACCGACTCCACTACAAAAACACGGCAGAGCTGAGAGTAGCTCTAAATTGCCTCTGTAAATACCCGATGGTATTTATCTCATGAAACCGTCGTGAGAAGTGCTGGGTTTGCACTTTGTGGCAGACAGGGCTGTCCAACAGACAAAGCAATATGAGGTAGAGGGTGTTTGAGGTCATGTCCATATGCCCTGAAAGAAGTCATTCTCATCTGCCAGCCAAGGGTAGAGCTTTGAAGTGTCAGGGGATTGTGGGTAGTCCGTCCAACGCCTGGAGACAGCTTGACACATTTGAAGGATCTGAGAGTGCATTTGCTTGCGTGTGCATGGAGAATATTGAAGAAGCAAACCTGTGGCAGCTCACAACTGTGATGAACTGGGATGCAGCTGCATGCATTGGTGGTAAAAACTCTCTCCGAGCTCCTGCCTGCTCCACCTCGGGTCCAGACTCCCGACCACTGAGACACTTCATCTAATGTGACAGCTGCACATTCCTTATTTTCTGTGACTCTCAACCAATCTGTCACCATATGGCCCTACTCCTCTCTCTCTCTACTACTCTAGCATTCAAAGCAGAACTTTTCGTATCCCGTGCACGCCGTTGCAGCCCTGCTTTGCAAGCGTGCCATCGCATGACCTATTTTTCAGGCGGCGCTTGCGTCATCTGAAAGTAAGTGTCAATTTTTTTTATGGGAGAGAGCGACAGAGAGAGAGGGGAAGGGATCTGTGCGGAGATGGATGGTGACTGGCGCTGATGGACGTGGAGTGTGTGTGAATGTGTGTTTATGTGTGTGTGGCTTGGCTCTTCATGGATTCTGTGGCGTGACGTATGTGCCGACACAGTATTGGACACGCGACATGGTGCTGGGTGGGGTACTAAAGTAACTGGGTTGTGGTGTGTATCGGAGCACCTGGTGAATAAAACATCTGAATGATAGGGGGATGGGAACCAAAAAAAAAAGAGAGAAAGAGAACAAGAAATAGGCACAAAAGAGTGTGTGTCTCATAAATAGTGCATACAGCAATAGAGGAGAGTATTGTTGAGTCAAGGGGAGCAACCCTCCAGTCCTGCAAGAAGAGATACACTATACTACACAATAAACAAACAAAAAATACAACCCACAGGGACCCAGCAGAAACAATCCAATGTGTGTGTGGGTATGACAGCCTGTAACTAAATGTTTGGTGAGGGTCTCTGGGTGGCTGGGTGATAAGGGTTTATTAAGTATATATATATATATATATTTACATAAATATATTATTACATACTTATTTTAAATTTTGGCAGTAACGGCATGTAATTATATACCATCCTTTAGTAAATAACAGTCTGGAAGTTTTCATTCACTTTTGTTTTTTTACTTTGTTCAATATATGTGTATATGTAATTTTATTTAGTATTTAGGGATATATAATTTAGGACAATTACTGTATAATTAGTCACAAAACAAATATAGAGTATATTATTTTATGTCATTTTATTTAAATATAACTGAATGTAATATAAATGAAAATAATGCATTTAAATAATTATTAATATAAATATGTGTAAAAATATATATTGTATACTATGTAAAACTATAATTTTGTAAAAATAAAAAAGTATGCAAGCTTTTTTTATAAGTAGTAAGTGTTCATTTACTATTTTTTATATTCATCCTTTTATATGTACATATTTATATTTGATAAAAAAACTTAACACAATTAAAATATAATTAGTCACCAAACAAATAGATTCTATTTTATGAAACAATTAATACTGTAACATAATATGAATGAAAATAATTAATGCAGTTTAATGATTACTGTTTTATTTCTTATTTTATATCATTTTAATCCTATTCTATAACATATTTTTGTAATATATGCAGATGAAAAACTAAAACAAATATGATAATACCATCCCCTTTATTAAGACACAACAAAAGGATCATTAAAAGATCATCATTAATGATTACAATGACAAGGAGAATGTATGTTTATCGACATCACACACCATAATATGCAGTCAATAAAAATTTACAATAGCTCTATAATTTTTCGAAAAAGAAATCTGCAACCCTAGCAGGTGTCTTATGGTGTTTTTGTGAAACTTACCGTGTCTCCAGCGGGACACTGCTGTTAAGAGCCCAACTGTCCTGGAGCTGGACGGATTCAGGGGTGGAGGGTCCATCTGTCGGGGCGGCAGTAGGTGCGTGGCTCTGCGGGTTCCGCCGGCTGGCCTGGTTGTTGCGATTGAGGGAATTAGCCGATGACTGGTGGTGGTTGTGCGGGGGAGGCAGAGGAGGTCGAAGGGAGGTCTGACTGTGATGACTGGACGCACCTGAAAGAGAGAGAGAAAAGGGAGATTAATCACAGAACATCCCTTCCTTTATGTTCCCTTATAGGATGCTGTCTGTAAAATGCTTTTTAGACCACAAATTCAGAACAACAAGTTGTTCAGGTTACTTTGATTCAATGGAGCTGTAATCTGTTTACTGTTCAGTAGTCATGCGTGAAATGCTTGTAACTGAATGGAGGAGAGGTGAAATGCTAGACATTTTGCAACAGAGAGAAGGATCAATTATGGATAATAAGATCTAAGCAGACACAAAAAGAAGACTTTGATCAAATCTATTGCTAGGTGGAGAAATAAAACATGTCTGTTTTTTTATTAGATTAAAGTCTCTATGAGTATGAAAACAAAAATAAATTTCTATTGCCTTCTAGCTTCTGACATGCTACAAAAAAAAAACTTATAATATAATATAATATAATATAATATAATATAATATAATAAACCTTTATAATTTAGACAAATTGCAATTATAAGAGAAATAGCCTAGTGCAGTGTTTTACAATTTCGACATGTAAAAGTGTTCATTTTGTAAACTTTTAATGACAGCATGTAGTGTTTTATCGTGCGATCTTCTCAGCATGTTAACAACTGAGATACACAGGAAGGTAGTATTTTTTTTACAGCAAATAATAAACAAAAATCTTTGCCCCACCTGACGGTTTCTGAACAAATATTGTATTCAAACGTGTCTAGAGGTTTAACAGATGTGTCTATGTTCCTGAGAGTGTAACGTAAAAATTCAATTATCCACATGAATTACCACAAAGGCCTGGGTTTATTACTGTCATATATTCCACCTTTATTTGTTTTTCTTCAACGTAACGGTTACAAATAACACAGTGAATATGATAATGCGTGTTTCACACCCTATGCCGCACCTCCCAACAATGGAGCATGAGGTCAAACGGAAGCAAATTCTTCCAGGAACCTGTGAAAAGAGGGGAAAGCAAGGGATTCAAAAGTGCCTTTGTGTTCCTTAAGAAGAGGTTCTGAGATGAAAGAGGATTTTAGACCAACGGGAGATCGGCTACGGTCTGAGGGCCAGGGCTGTGTAATCTCTCTACATGCAGTGTGTCAGAGCACTCTAAAAACGGAGCGCGACAAAACCCAGCCGGGCACAAAGCCCTGCTCTCTCAGCTTACAGCACCAGAGGAACTCTGGAGGAACTCTTCGGCTCCAACAATGGTGCTCAAAACACTGGATTATCGCCCAATGACATGCCCATCAAAACCAAGCCGGCCACTTTCCATATACTGGAACAAAGGCAGGAAGGAACTTGTGCTTTTAAGGGTTTAAAGCGCTGCCATGACCGAAGCGTCATTCCTTGTTTTTTCAAAGGGACCTGGCGTAGTCGGCCAAAACTGATGCGACAGGCGCAGAAGAAGCGCCTTCTGAATGAGCTGCTGTGACAGTGGCCTTCAATGGGCAAATAAAGGATGGCGCTTGTGGGATTCTCTTCTCGCTCGCATGTGAGAACGGCACGCCAGGGGTCTCAGTGTGAAGCGCTGGAATCACAGAGGGACAATGGGCCGCTCCTGTGCTTCCATTATACAGGATGTGGAGCTCACAGCCGGAGAACGGAGCTAAAGTCAGTACAGTAATGCAGAGATTAGATTACAGGCGACTACTGTTATTAGCACAGAGTTACGTGAAAGAGCCTAAATACAAAATCTCTCACTGTAATGTACACATCTTACCCAAGCAGGAGGTAAAAGACAGGGGGTCGTTTAAGATGCCTGTGGAAAGAGATATTGATTGCCAGGGTGTGTAGCTATGAATTTGCTGTCTGGAACATTCCTCCGACGGATGTTATGACAACTTAATTGAACATAAATGAGTGGACTAGAGGTCAACCAATTGTGGATTTTGCCAATAACAATAACCAAGAAGGAGAAATAGGCAGACAACAGATTAATCTGTTTTTAAAATTAATAATATGAATTAAAAAAATTTAATTAAATATAAAATAGTTCTGGATAATGACTTAACCATGAAGATGTTTTGTAAAAATTAAATAAAAATAGCTATGCTTTATCACTATTGACACACTAACATTTTTTTTTTCATTTTATTGTCATATACGTAACTTTTTAAAATAATTTTAGATAGCATTGTGTATATTATATATCCATGTGCCCTAATATCTAAGTTATACCATGCTCATGTCTGAGATTCATATAATTTACCATGTTTATGTTTTATGTAAAATATAAAAATATAGTCAAAAGGTGTGTGTTGTGTTTGTGCTTTTTTTATTGTTGTTATACAGTAAAACCCTCAAGTGCATGACTGATCACTATCATCACTGATTTTTGCCAATAACAATATGTGACGAGTGGGGGCGGAGCCGAGAGCCATGGGAATGGAGCGAGGCCGGTGGAGTAATTGATAATGAGCGACACCTGCACCACTCACCGGTCTCGAGTCCCACGAAGGAGCTGCCGCTTTACTTTCATTTTGTGTTTGTTTATTTTATTAAAGTTTTGTTCAAATGTTCGCCGGTTCCCGCCTCCTTCTTCCCGTGACTACGAACTGTGTTACACAATAGTTCCTATAAGTGCCAATTATTATTATTATTTTAATTTTTTTTTTTTTTATCAATATATCAGTCAACCCTAGAGGGTAAAAAAAAAAAAGAAAAATTGCACAAGCCACAAGAGAAGGACATTCAGTATCTTAATCTCAAAGAACTAGGACAAAGGCAGCCAAAGTGGGGCTTCTTCTCTTGCAATACAGACAATAACAAAATGTCACCCTGGTGTGGTTTATGATTGAGTTCTGTAAAATGAACTTAAAGAGCTTTATTTTGCGCAGGGAAAGAAACTCTTTCATGACACAAGGGCACAGATTCCGCTCTCCTGCAGATCGTTCCCTCTCAAAACTTCCGCTTACAACACGGGCTTCATAATGCTCGATTTATTGGGACACGAAACAGCTGTGAAGCTATTCTGTCCTCCATTACAGACATTCATTTATTTCCCACCAGCCTCCATCACTTTCTCTTTTCACAAGGCTGTTTCTCTTTCTCCCTCAGCTTTCCGTTCATCACCATTTAGCAGTGTTTACGAATAATTGAGTTTTGATTCAGTGAGCGAGTGGCGGAGGCAGACAAAACATGCGACAAGCAACACAGGGAAAGCGACACTATGTGGGTTCAGAAAAGGCCTATTCGCCTAAATCGAAACTTCCTGCTCTTCCTGCCAGCCTGTTCTAAAAAAAAAAAAACACACAAAGACACATTTACATTCAAGGCATATCAATGAGAAACTGTTACAAAGATATAGGGGAAAATATAATTTACTTGGCTTCCTCTGTCTGGCTACACAAGCGACAGAGGAAGCCGCGAGTATATGCGGTAATCAAGTGGAATAATATTCTGTTAATAGGTGTGTCTCTTGCCCCACCCCCAAACACACACACACACAGATTATATCTAGCTAGTTTCAGTTACTTTTACAGAACCAGGAACAAAAGAAATACCTACATAATCTGCAAATTATATTGTAACAATATAATTGTCTGCAACTGGTCTGACAGTTTATTTTGTTGTATTTATTTTTTATTTATTTACAATGTATTTATTTTTAATTATTATTATTATTATTAATAATGTATATATTAATTAAATTTATTTTGTTATTACTATTTCTAATTATTTATTATATTTAATTTATATTTAATATTATTTGTTATATTTTTATTTATATTTGACTATACAGTAAGTTGGAAAAATTACATCAGCTTTAACTTGAGCAAGATCATTAGTAAAAAGAGTGTAAAAAAAAAAGAACAGAAAGACAGACGCAAGAGAGAGCAACGGGCCAGAAGAAATGAGCTGGTGCTGCTGAGACAGGCGGAGGAATGGAGGCAGAGGCGTGGGACAACAGCTCTGCATGGCGGCTTCTTGTTTCCAGCGCATGGCAATGGTGAAATTACTGTAGCCAAGCTTTGCTAGGCTATAGGCCATGCCATGACAGGGATTAAAATAAATTGCCCAACATGAGCGGTGGGAACGGTGGAAAAACAATAGGAGTAAAAGCATAAATGTCAATTTGGAATGATAAAAGACACAATCTAAATGTGGCAGGAGGAGCCTGGAGACAGAGCGGGGGTAATTGAGCTCTGTGCTATAGAGTGGAGTGTTTACAGAAAGAGAAAGAAAAGGAGAGAGCAATGAGGTGTCATGATTGGTGGCCAACCACCTTCTGTCGTTCATCCATCCTCAGACTAATTCTTCACGCACCAACCGCCGTTTTTTTTATTTCTGTCGCTCGACAGATCTGGCTAGACAGTATATGACAACCAACAATATTTCAGATCTTCACTGAGTGGGAGTATGGGAACCTTGTCAACAACATGTTCACACTGTCATTCGAAGGTATGAACACAGAACATGTGAACAGAAATAATATACAAAAATATCTGCAACTAATTAAAAAAATAATAATAATAAAAATGTGCAACTGCAATGCATTTAGAAGTCAGCAGGCCTCGAAGTTACGGCACAAACTGCCTTCAGAGCTGAGCCAAAAGCAATGCCATATTTTGGTACAACCAAATTTTACAATATATCATGATATGAGTGTAATGTATTTTCCTGGAAATTCAACCAATAATGGTTTATATACTACCACTCTAAAGTTTGTGGTCAGTAAGGTTTTCTTTTATTTAGAAAGGATGTATTAAACTGATCTATTGTGACATTTTTATTATTATCATCTATGTTTTAAATAAATGCTGTTCTTTTGAACTTTCTATTCATATTAGTTTCCACAAAAATATTAAGCCACACAATGGTTTCAGTGTTGATAATATTAAGACATGTACTGTATTTTGATCAAATAAATCTAGCCTTGGTGAGCATAAGATGTGTCAATGTCAAAAACAATTAAATATCTTACCGACCTAAACCTTTGAATGGTAGTGTTTAAAAATTAGTGATAAATTGTGACTGGATAAGCCTCATGGGCTTATTAATATAGACA